GCACCACTGAGCTAAATCCCTGGCCTGATATATATATTTTTAATAGTTGACTTAATAGAGAAGTTAAAAAGAAAAGAACTGTATTGGGGATTTCCTTGTAGTCTCTGGTAATTTCAAGTTGGGTAAAGTAAAAAATATTCATTTCTGTTGCTTAATTATCATTACTAAAATGGAAAACCTTTACATTTGTAATAGGGACTTCAGTGTACTTTTAATGTACCTTATTTCGATTCCATAATATGCTGATTTTATTGCCAAATTGTAACTGTTTAAGAAATGAAATAATCCATGTACTGTCAAATCATGTTTCTGTTTTATACTTTGAGTCATTTATTTATTTTTTAGTTACAAAAGTCTAGAAAGGAAAAGAATGCAATAGCTCTTAAAATACAGAAGATACAACTGAGAATATGAATGATGTATGTTAAATGTGGGAACTCAGGCAACTTAGGCAAATTTACCAGTTCACTTTTGTTCATTAGTTAATTAAGATGAATAAAAACAAATTAAATGGAAAGCCATTTGGATTTTTCTAATACTATCTCCAAAATTCATGCAAAAAAGAGTAATGTGTTAGATCAATGATATATAAAGAATATTGGAATAGTATTATATTTAGCATTTCTTTATCACATGTTTTACAGCTCAACATGAACTCTGCTCCTACGTTCATGCATTTTCCTCCAAAAGGCAGACCCAAGAGAGCTGATACCTTTGACCTTCAAAGAATTGGATTTGCAGCTGAACAGCTAGCAAAATGGATTGCTGACAGAACGGATGTTCATGTATGTTTTTCTTCCCCATAGTTTTTATACTAGACTGATTAGCTTGATTTTTTAGAGCATTGTAATAAGGTTACAGGATTAAAACAATTCTCTGTGGCTGTTTCTCTTGGCCTAGAAAAAACTGTTTGATAGCTATAATTGATAATTGGAATGTTGATGGATCACGTGAATTCAGATGGTTTTTAGAACAGTGGTTTGTTGATACTTTAAAAACCATTAAAAAGGACATGAGTTGGCACAAAAGTAATTTCAGGGCATGAGAAATACATTGAAAACATTTCATTGATATTAATAATCATAAAAATTCTAATTAAAAAGCAAGGTGTAAAATTTTTATTTTGTGTATAAATAGAAAAAGGATTTAAAGGCCAGGTGTGGTGGTGCATGTCTGGAGTCTCATCTGTTTGGGATGCTGAGGTGGGAGGATTGCCTGGCATATTCAAGGCCTTGGATTCAGACTTCAGTACCACAAAACAAAAATAAAAAGAAAAGAAACAGGGTGTAGAGCCATACGGAAAAATACTCATGAAGTGTCTCTATTTTACATGATCTAATAATTCCACTTCTAGGAATAGAATTTAAGAGTGTAATCAAGAATGATTAAATTTTTAGCTATAGATATTTTCAAAAAGCATTCATTTTAATGGAAAAAACTGAGTGTCTAAAATAAGAATCTTAATAACTGTATTATGGCATAGCCAAAAAATGATTTGCAGGAATATTTCACATAGAATGATGTTCAAAGAAAGAAAGAAAGTAGGTTTTTGGAAAATTAATATTAGAACACCTATTATAATCAAATAGCATAAAATTATTGTATTGTATATCATACTATCATCCTTACACTGTATTATCTAAAATTTTGTTTTAAAGCATGAATATGAATATAGCTTGAAACAAACCATTTATTATTAAAGGAAATGAATGAAAATGTTTATGGTAATATCCATGTGAAAGACTTATGGCAGTTTTCCTCCTACTATCTTCAGTATTTTCTAAAGTGGACAACTATGGCCAGTTATTTAAGTCCATTTATGGTGGAAATAACACAGAAACATTAATTTTTACCAGAAGAGGCAAACGCATATATTCTGTCAGGGTGATTGTGTCTGTGTACCATCATTCATCTATATGATCTCATCACCTGTGTCATAGATTTTAGAGACATTTTGGTGTCTAAACTTATTTCGTAAATCTTATCATTTTTTGGAAATATTTCAGCAAATCTCTTACTATGCAGTATATCATCTAGTTGACATTATATCTCTTACTGTGCAGTATATCATTTAGTTGGCACTCTTAATATTGAGAGTACTAATAATTTTTTAGAATAAATAGTAAATTTTAAATGAAAATGATTTTAACCTGTTTACCTATCACATTTATGTATCTTGCCAATAAATTTACAGACTAAAAAAATTATTTGCAAATAATTTCAAATTTATAAAAATTTTAAAAATGAAAATAATACAAATAGTACCAAGATACATCCTAACTCAAGTTTACCTATTGTTAATATTCTACCTTATGAGTGTTGGGATTCTTTTTATGTCTTTTTTATCTGTGTCTTCCTCCATCTACATACAGAGATTTTTTTTCCTTAAAAAATAATTTGAATGAATAACATTTCACAGAAATATATAGGCACAGCATAGTTATGAATGTCATATGTTTATGCTTGTATAATATTTTATTTGAGCTGTTAGTATCCATACTAGAGTGTTGTCAGTTGAACTAACATCCCTTTATAACATTTTTCCATCTTTCAAGATGAAGTCTAGAGTAAGTTGTTTCATCTAAATGTCATTCTTTTAAATCTCTTTTAACCTGGGATATTTCTATACCCTGTGTCCTTTAAAGATGTTGATATTTGTAAGAACATAGCCCTGTCCCACTTTTTAAATAGAATGATTCTTATTTGATTTGCCTGATATTTACTCATGGTTGGATTCTGCTTATGTGTTCTCAACTATAATGCTAAATAAGTCATGTTTACTTTAATCACATATGTAGGCATGAAATACTGATTTGTTCTTCCTTGGTAAAAACTATTTTGAACATTGGATCAAAGTGTTTCCCATTCCTTCATTTATGTGTAATTACTTATCTTTCTGTTTATGTCCTTTAAATTATTTGTCTGTAAAGACACCTTAAGATCATTCAAATATTCCATTTCTCACCCAACATTTACTGTTGGATACAGCAGCCATTAATGATTCTTGCCTGTTTCAGTTTGGACTACAGTGACTGCAAAATGATGATTCCAATTCCAGCTCTCCATATTTTTTGTTGGCCTTAAGTATTCTACTGTAATTGGGAGTTCTACTCCTTTTATCTGTGTATTTCTTTCAGTCGTCTGATTATCATTGGTATAGGATTATGAATTGCATTTTGTATTGCAAATATTTTTTTAAAGATCTTCAGATAATAATGATGTTTTGATGTTTTGATGTTTAAAAGCAATTTTCTGGCAAGGAAGAGATTGCCCCTCCTGGTGCAGCCAGCTTTTACAGTTAACAGAGGGCCCAGGCAGGAGTCTATCTTTGATAAGCAAACTAATCAGTCCAGAGGCATACCTTCTTTCTCTGGCTTTTCAACCCTAGAGGATAGTACTGTTCTGCTTTAGTCATCCCAGGGTCAGGACCAGACAATTAGACAACACTCTTACAGGCCAAATTCCACCAAAATCATCCAACTAATCAGTTTTAAACTATTCCCTGCCCCTGCCCTGTCTTTCCCAAAAAACTTTAGCAATGGCAGTGGCCTAACCTTCCTCTGGCTCCAGTCTTCTGCCATGTGACTGCTCTGGTATCTTTCTTATGTGGCCCTGCATGGTGTATAGTGTCTTTTATCTTTGTGACTATAATCACTTTGTTTTTTCCTGAACTTCTATTATTCTTGACTGATCGTGTCACAAAACAATACATAATGCATCCTTCATGCCCTTGTGGTTTGCAATCTATTGCTGCTCTTAATTTGGTACTAAAATTATTCTAGGTTTGATTATAAAAGCTTCTTCATGCCAGTGTCTGTGTTTTTGTTACATGCTTTCATCATTATTCTTTAAGTGCTTTCTAATTTTCTGACATAAAAATTTGTTCCAGGCTCTTACTGTATCTGCCTGTACAGCTGTTGCACCCTTCTCTCAGTCATCTCTTCCAAGGGCCTGGTTCTTTTAAGTAGGAAATGTTATTACAGCTAAGAGCTGTATGTACTCTTGAAGTTACAAATTCACACCAGTTGTATTTATTTCTAAAGAAGAGGCTTTATGGTTTAAAGGACAACATCAAGAAAGTGAATAGATATCCCACGTATGGGGAAAATATTAGCAGATCATTTTTCTGATGAGATTTATACCCAGTTTTATATGTCTCTTAAATTTAATAGTATAAAGACAAAACCCAATTTAAAATGGGCAAAGGATCAGAATAAACATTTCTGTGAGGAAAAAATAGAAATAGCTATTAAGTACATGCTTAACATTGTCAGTCACCAGGGAAAAACAAATTAAAACTACAAGGAGATACCACTTCACACCCAGTAAGATAGCTGCAAACAATGTCAGATAATAAAGATTGGTGAGTAAATGGAGAAATTGGAAGCCTCATATACTGCTGAGGAGATGTCAGATAGTACAGACACTGTGGTAACAGCCTGGAACTTCCTCCAGCTGTTAAACATTGAGTTTTCCATATGACCCATCATTCCACTCATTAGTTTCCATGGAAGAAAAATAAAAACATATGTCTGCAATGTATTATTCATATGAGCCATAAAGTGAAATCTATTCAAATGTCTATCAAATAATGAATGGAGAGACAAAATATGGTATAGGTATACAGGGAATATTATCCAGTTAGAAAAATGGAGTACAGTATGCTCCTATGTGGATAAACCATGAAAACATTATACTAAGTGAAAGAAGCCAGTTACAGAAAACCATACAGTATGTGGAAGCCTAGAATTCGAGATGTCTATAGAGACAGAGAGTGGATTAGTATTTACTGTAGCTAAGTACTGTAGGTTGTGGGGAATAGGTAGATGACTGGAGGTGATGAAAATGTTCTGATAATTCTGGTGATGGCTGTAGTATTTGTGAGCATTCTAAAAACCACTGAATTATGTACACACTGAGAGGGTGAATTGTATGGCATGTGGGTTATGTTTTAGTAAAACTGTTTTTAAAAGTCCCAAATTGAAATGATACAAATCCACCCCCATCTCATTGCTGCCATTTACTAGGTGATCCAGGGGTGAAGCAGAGCATCTCTGGGTTGAGTTACATGTGTACAGTTTCCATATACTTGAGTGTATTCATCCAAAATGAAGAGAAAGTTCTTTTGCACACCCATTATGTTTTTAAATCATATATTTTTGCCTCATATAAAGAGTGACTGTTAATGCCAGATGTAAAAAGTAGGGTGACGTGTTTCTGAATTGTTTATGTTGAAGATTGGAAGGACTAGAATATGGTCAAGAGAAAAATTTAGTATTTTTCCTTCCATTTTAAAAATTTTCATTGCATTTTTGCAGATTCGGGTTTTTAGACCACCCAACTACTCTGGCACTATTGCTTTGGCCTTGTTAGTGTCACTTGTTGGTGGTTTGCTCTACTTAAGAAGGAACAACTTGGAGTTTATCTACAACAAAACTGGTTGGGCCATGGTATCTCTGGTATGTTGTCACATTTTTCTTTTTTCTCTATTTTGCTGCATAGTAGTATATAAATGTTAACAAAATATGACTATTACTGTAATTAAATTCCAATTTCAATGAGAATACTTAACTTTTTATGACTGGACTAATACAGTAGAAATTCACTGTAAATTTATATATCTTCTTACTACTTTTCACTATTAAAGTCTAATGTCCCTTAGTACTTGGCTCATTACAAATGGTAAATACATGATTAAATATATTAAGAAACTGGTAGGAATTAATAAGAATTAGTAGTTTAAAGTAATTTTCAAATAGAAGCAATTTTTAAATGTACTCATTCACTATTTTGTTTTTCAGCAATTATTCCTTTTGCCTCTTTTGTGTGCCTGACATCTGTTAGGTCCTAGGGATATGGGTATAATGAATTCATTATGGGTATACAAACTATATGCTACACACTGTGAGGGAGGTAAGCAAAGCAGGGAGAGCTATAGGAACAAAGTAAAGACACCTGAGTGTGTCAGAGCTAGATTTTGAAAAGTAAATGAAATTTTAAAGTTATTAAGACCAAATCATCAACATATGTAAAGCCTCAGATATTCAAAGAATTATAGCTTGGTGTGGCTACAGCATTGGTAACAAGGCAAGGAGGAGTAAGAGATGGCCCTGGAGAATCTAGCTCCACAGTGCTAGATTATGAATTTTTATCCTACTGCCAGTGGAAGCCACTAAAATATTCCATGGCAAATGACATGACTAAATTTATGTGATCATTGATCACTGCTAGCAGGGGGCTGTTGATTGAAAGGGTTGAGTTTGGCAGAAGAAAGACTAGTTAAGAGGATGTTAGAAGAATCCAGCTAAACATAATCCCATTTCAGTTTCAACAGGGTAATTTTCTTCTCTTGATTATGATCATGCTACATTTCTTTAATTAGATAATAAAAATGAAATATAAACATTATATGATTAAAACATTCAGACATGATATTTCTGCTTTTTAATAGCTATATTAAAATATTGTTGTGAAATAGATGCTGTAAGCAGTAGCACAAAATTTATATTATGCAAATAGACTTAAAGTATTCCTAGAAAGTAGTTTTCCTGGTGTATACTACATTAATATTATTTGAATTTAATTATTTTGAAAGACATGACTGTAAAGCAGAAAACTGTAACATTGCAGTAATAACCTGACAGGTTTACATGTGTGTGTTTTTGTGTATGACAGCTGGAACATATCAAAGGATAAATTGATCTGTGCTGTCAGCATACCTGTGTTTTACCTGAAGTCATTCAGTATCAAATTTAACTTCACTATGTTGAGTTTAAGCTCCAGAGAACAGTTGAAGACAAGCTGAAATATACCTAATCAATAGAAAGATTAAAATGGAATACTAAAAATGTTTATATAATTAATACAGAAAATATTTGTACAAGAAAAGATAACAGGAATAGCAATGAATGAAAAAAATAGTACAAATTTTTTTTAATTGCAGACCTAAATAAGTCGTATCAATATATTTATGTGGATTAAATATAGACTTAATCCCCTAATCAAAAAGAAGAGATTATCAGGCTGGTTACAATGCAGTAGCATACTGGGTGCTGTCACAGGAGAAACATTTTAAAGACAAAGATACTGAAAACAAATGAGTAGAGAAATGCATACCCAAAAGACCTAAATAAATGGAGAGATATGCGTATTCAGTGTCTCTGAGCTTAATGTGGTATGTCACATTTCCTTCAGATTTCCCTGTGGATTTAAAGATGTAGCAATTAAAATCCTGACAGATCTTTTAGAATAAAGCAATAAGCCATTTCTAAAGATAATACAGAAAGGCATAGATGGTCTGGAATAGCCAAATAACTTTTGAAAAAAAAAGAAAATTGGAGGACTTACATTACCTAATTTAAAGACTTACTGTAAAGTTATAATAGTTGAAATAGTGTAGAATTGAGCTAAAGTTAGACACCTAGGTCATTGGAATAGAATACAGAGCCCAGAAATAACACATATACATATGTGGTCAATTCAGTTTTTAACAAAGGTGGCAAGTAATCCTGTGAGTAAGATACAGTCTTCAAAAAGTGATGCTGAAAAATACCCATATGGAAATAATGAACGACTTATCTCACATTGCAAATAAAAAGTACTCTAAATGGGTTATAATTCCATTTATCTTCTGTAGGGAAAAAGATGCAGCACCTGGGAGGTTCTTCTGGATGAACACAGAAAATCTTTGTGACCAAAAGAATGAACATAAAAGGAAAATAAAAGATAAATTGGATTTCATTAAGGTTCAAAGTTTCTGATCTTCAAAAGATACCATTTAGATAATGAAAAGACCATCTATAATCCATAGATCAAGAGAAAATACTTAGAAACCATATGATAAAGGACACATATTTACAACATGTAAAGACTCATTAATGTTCAGTAATAAGAAACCCAAAAACTTGTTTTTAAAAATGGACTGCCGGCTTATACATTAAGATGAAGTAAAGACATGCCAGCTTCCCAGTGACACAATATAAAAACCAGAGAAAATGTGAGGCTCAGGTATTTGATAGATCTAAAAAGTAAATGTCAACAGACAGACTAGGTAAGAATTCCAGCATTCAAAATGGACATAATTAGAAGAAAATCAATAATTGTTTTATTATTTTGGTTTTTTGGGCTTGAATTCATTGCAGGTTGAAACTCGGAAGTGAATAGCCATGCAGACAGAAAAGTATCTAGGATACTCTAGTTTTGACCCAAGAAGCAATGAAGGGAAATTTGAAAAGCTTGGAGAGAGTAGAGCAGATGAGTTTCCAGGTGTTTGTTTTTGTTTTTAAATCTTCTCTCCTTTATCTCTGTTCCCTTTCACCAGAACCCCAGGAGGCCTTGAAGTCATAGAGCAGTGGAGGCAGTGAAAGTAGTTCTCCTGAAATCTGGCCAAGTATTTTTAAGGGTGCAAACCAGGCGGAGCAACTGGCAGTTGTTTCTTGGCTGGAATTCTGCAGTGGGAGTTGGGGGGGAGACACAGGAGGGTCCACTTTCTGTCTTTGTTGGAGCAGAGATGTATGTACTACATGGTATGCTATAGCCAGCAGCTAAGATGCGTTCCCCCTGGCTAGTGCTGGTAGGCACGATGGCAGAGTTTGTAGATAGAATTTGCTTACCACTCTTATGCCAGCTTTCATGCTGATTGTTTAAGACAGGAAGTGCTGAGATATATCCAAGGAGTCACCACCATGAGCTCATAAAGCCTAAGTACACCTTGGGCCTATCTAGCCTCCAGGTAACATGGAGGTGGCTGTCACTGCTGCTGCCACTGCTGTTTCTGGTATGCAGTCTTGGTGGTGGCTGCTCTCAGGACACTGAAGGAGAAGCCTGTCATAACTCATCCTACGTGCCATCACTCACTGAGTTTATCTTCAAAAGAAACTAATCAGATTCTATGATCTCTCAAGGCCTTTGCAGAGAAGTGCTATACATTTTCCTACCATGAACTTTGTAGGCATTTATTAGAATCGGGGACGTATAGTTAGTACTTCATTTATTAGTGTGTTTGCATTACATAATATTGCATTTATCTTGAGGAATTAGTACATATATATATCACATTTTAAGCTCTTTCATCTCCACAGTCTTGTTTTCTACCATTGCTTTTATTTTGCTCTTGTATTTTGAGTTTCTCATTTATGAGAAACCATGTAATATTTAACTTTTAGTGTCTCTTGTTTAAAGATCCATCTATTTTCCTCCAGATGACTCAAATTTATCCTTCATTATGGCTGAGTAGTATTCCATTGTACATATATACCACATTTTCTTCATCCATTCATCTGTTAATAAGCACATAGTCTGCTTTCATACTTTAGCTGTTGTGAATTGTGCTGCTGTAGACCTGGATATGCATATATTATTGTAATACTATGACTTTAACAGTTGTAGGAAGATGCCCCAAAGAGGTATAGCTGTGTCAAATGGAATTTCTAGTTTCAGTTTTTCAGGATTCTCCATACTGATTTCCATGGCGGTGAACTAGTTTACATTACCACCATCAATGTAAAACTTCGCTTTTCCCATGCAACTTTGCCAGCATTTTTTTTTTTGAGTCTTTGATGATAGCCCATTATGATTGTAGTAAGATGGAAACTCAGTGATTTTTTTTGTGTGTGTGCATTTTTCTGATGGCCAAAGATGGTGAACATTTTTTCATGTACTTATTGGTCATTTGTGCTTCTTCTTTTGAGAAATGTCTGTTCATTTCAGTTGCCTGATTTTTCTTTGGGTTAGAGTTAAATAGTTACGGGACATACCTTTGTTCCCAAGCACTTCAACTGTTTTTGGTTCCTTTGTGAGAAGACTGTAAGTAGTGGCTAGGAAATTGCTTCCTGGCAGTTTGAGTGTCTTTTCTGTATTTTTATTTGACTCATTAGGCAAGCTTGGCTGGTAATCAGGGGCTAAAAACAAAAATAGACCAGTGGTTCTTCTCATAAACTAAAAGTTACTGAAAACAATCTACAAATAGTCCCTGAAACCCATTGGCATTGCTGGTGGAGTGACCTGTGGCGTCCAGTTTACATGACCAGTTCATCAAATGCCTTTGAGACCCCTCAGGCTCTAGGAAAAATCAAAAAACACTCCCAAGAATTTTCTGAGAGACCTTCAGACTTTTTACTATTCCAGGACAGCATTCTTTCCAGTTGCTTCACCTCTCACTGTGCCACTTTGTTGAGATTCTAGGAGTCAAGGTGGTCAATGAGAACAACTAGCACAATTGAAACTATTGAGTTTATTCACTTACTGAGTCAATGTGAGCAAGAGATCAAAATGCCAACTCCCTGATGTCTCATTTTTCCCCCAGAATAGCATTGGGCAAAGGTCAGGTGATACTCACTGCAGGTAGGGACTCATTTTACTGTAGAGGAATCCCTCAAAAGGCCTTTGATAGTCCTGTTGCAAGTAATTAGGAAAGGTCTGGGACTGGAATTCTTGGGTCAGATTGAAGAAAATGTCTTAC